AGCCCAGCCTTGCTGGGTTCGACGGAGCCCAGCCTTGCTGGGTTCGACGGAGCCCAGCCTTGCTGGGTTCGTCGGAGCCCAGCCTTGCTGGGTTCACGACCAACTGGGTTCGGTTGAAACCCAGCCTTGCTGGGTTCACGACCAGCCAAGGCTGGGTTCGGACGAACCCACCTTTGCTGGGTTTCAACCGAACCCAGCTTTGCTGGGAAAGCTTGGTTCTTGTTTTTTCGTTCTTCTTTCGATTTCCATTTGCAGTTGTTAATATATTTGGAGATTGATTTATAATTTGATTGCATTTTTGTTGAAGTTTGATTATATTTTTGTTGAAATTTGATTTGAGTTTGATTGGTATTGTTTATCGAAGGGTTATTTTGATTTGGTAAGATTTGTCAGGTTTGAGGTTTCAATGAAACCCAGCAGCTTAATAGCTCAAGTTTTCCCGAGAAAGGAGAAGAAGAAGAAATGGGTGGGTTAAGATCGGATCTGTAGATAGAGTGGAGATGAGAGAGTATTCACGGAAGAAGAAGAAATGGGTTAAGATGATTTTGCAGATGGAGTGGAGATGAGAGAGCATTAAGAGAATAAAAAGAAATGAGCTAAGATCGATTTTGCAGAGATGAAGACGAGAAATCAGTTTGCAGGTGACTGGAATCTATTGGAGCATGAAGATGAAGAAGATGACATGTCATAAAAAAAAGTCCAGATAAGCATCTTTTTAAGTTACGTTTGCCATGTCATCAAAAAAAATATAAAAAATGCCATGTGGTCGAGTTAACGGCCCAAATTGACAGAAGGATTAACGGAGTGCATTTTGTATAGTTGAGGGATAAAAAAGTGTAAAAAATTGTTAAGGGATTAAAAATGTGCAACTCACTAAAGTTGAGGGACCAAATTTAGCATTTAACCAAAAGAAAAGAACAGAGCCGCTGATTTGTAACCTTGAACCAATTCCAGCATCCCCATTTTCAGCCAACCACTGCGTAGCGCAGTTGTTTAGCTCTTTCTCGCTCCCTCTTAATATGGCCAAAGGACCCGTTAAGTACTTTGTTGTAAGTTCGTTTCTTCCTCTTCTCTCTCCCTCCCTCTTGAATGTATATGGTGGTTGAAATTGAATGGCTGTGAATCTATAACAGGTTGACGCGTTCACGGACTCGGCCTTCAAGGGGAACCCGGCTGCCGTCTGTTTACTGGAGGAGGAGAGAGACGAGGAATGGTTGCAATCAGTGGCTACTGAGTTCAACGTCTCTGAGACTTGTTACTTGACTCGGATTGCTAACCCGGACTCTGCAACTCTTAGGTTTCGTCTCAGATGGTTCACTCCAGTGACTGAGGTGGGTTAATTGGTTTTCAATTGATCAGATTTTGTCCATCAGAACTGCTGGTTCAAGATTTAATTTTGGGTCAATTTTTCCGGTCGATTCAAATCTCTGTATCTTTTTTACAGGTTGAACTCTGCGGTCATGCAACATTAGCATCTGCACATATTCTCTTTACAACTGGTTTGGTGAACTCTGACATAATTGAATTCGACACACTGTCTGGAATTCTGACAGCTAAAAAGGTTCCTGATGTCAAGGCAACTGATGCCTCCTTGAAGAGTCAG